TGTTCTATATTCGCGCCCTGCTCGAGCAGATAGAGCACCAGCGCTGCAGATCCCTGATATGCTGCCAGATCTAGTGGCGTGCGGCCGTTGTTGTCAGCGTGATTCCGGTTGCAGCCACGTTCGATCAGACACTTGGCTGCGGGTTGACGCCCTCGCAGGCAAGCCCAGGAGAGCGCAGTGAAGCCCTCCTCATCTTGCGCCTCAAGAGAAGCGCCGCGATCTATTAGCAGTTCCAGCAGCTCAATGTGTCCTTCTTCTGCGGCAATCATGAGCGGTGTTTTGCGTGCCGTCGTCACTGGTTCATCGATGTCGGCACCGTTTTGTATCAGCTTTTCGACGACTGCCCAGTGACCCTCTTTCACTGCCAGCCAGAGAGCAGTGTAGTCTTGCTTGTTGCGTGCGTCAATGCGCGCGCCTTTCGATAGCAAAATTGCCACAGCGTCGCTGCAGCCATTACGCGCAGCTGCCGTTAGTGGTAGATCGCCACACGCTTCATCCATGAGATTCACATCGATGCCGTCAAGTTCGAGCAGATCCTCAACAATTGTTATATGATCCTGTGCTGCCGCAGCAATGAGGGATTGCTGCAGCGCTACGGCCAAGCTTACATCGTGCGAGTTGGGACGCGGCGTCCAATCACAAGCCAATAAATATTTAACCACGTTCAAACGCCCTGTGCGTGCTGCGTGCACTAGCGCGCAGCGTTGCGTTGTATCGGTCTGACCCAAACTGCTGCCGGCGGCGACAAGCAAGCGCACGACGTCTGCGTGTCCGCGTATGGCGGCCAGTATGAGCGGCGTGCAGCCTTGGCTGTTTGTGAGACTAACATCGGCGCCAAATTCTAGCAGCAAGCTCACCATGGGCACTATGCCTTCGTGCGCTGCTATGCAGAGTATTGTTGCATCGCCCATGAACTCAGTGCGGTAGTGTGGCGAAGCGCCGGCGAGCAGTATTAGGCGGGACACCTTCAAGTTTGGGCTATAGACGTTGCGTAGCGAGCCGAGCGAAGCGGAAATATTGTCGGTGACCGAAGCGATCCAGAAGGACTGCATATCGCGCGGCAGTTGTGGGCCCTGACAGTTGCGATAGATGTGCGCCTTCAACATGTGATGGCCCAGCTCCATTGTCTGCTCGGGATCGAGTGGCGCCTGCATGCGCGACAACCGAAATGCAATGGCTGCATGTCCGAGTCGAAAATCGCAAAGGAATTTCGAGGATTCACCCTCGTCGCGCCTGATTAACCACTCGCGAAAGTAGGAGTGGAAGAACATGTAAGTGTTGTCGATGCGGCGTATGAGAAAGCCATCCAGCAGTTTAAAGCGCTGCAAAAACTCATCCCAACTCAGCACCTCGTCTGTTTTCATGGCGCTAATGGTGTAGTAGATCTCGTTCAAGGTGAGCGGATACAGCGCAGCCAGACACACGTTGAGTATGGGTGCGGCCTTCCCGAAGCTGCTGTTGGTGGGGAAACGCAAGTTGAAATGCAAGAGGAAGATCTGCGCCAAGCTCACGGGCAACACTTTGTAGCTGGTCGACTTGATCACCAATTGGCCGCGCTCAATGAGATCGAGTATCAGCTTGGCGTACAGCATCGAGCCCTTCGTCAGCGCCTGCAGGTGCCCTATGAATTTGAGCTGCCCGCTGCTGTGATCTTTTATAGCACCAATATTGTTCTGTATTTCCACGCTGTGGTTCACACGGAATGTGATGTAGTCTAGCATATCCTTCTGCAGCAGATCGTTCGAGGCCCAGCTGTCTAGCGTCATTTTTGTATACGACAAACCTTTGACGAATTCCAACATCTGCGTGCGCACCGTGGCAACGACCTTCAACCACGACGGAAAGTGTTGCGTCATCTTGGCAAGAAAAGTAGCGATTGTGTTTCCATGATCGGGGCGATGGTACTCTGCCTCACACAGCGCATCGACGAGAATAACGCATGTCTTTGTTGGTATCTTTCCAGCGCGTTTTAGCACAATTAACGGCTCTAAAATGGCCATGCGCATCACGCGCTCAGCATCGGCTATGCACTCCTTCACACTCAATATATCCTGCAGATGCGGCTCGCTGAGCAGATACTCGCGATATGCCTCCAGCTGTGGAGCTTGACATAGCTGTGCAGCCAGCGAGTGTACAAAGTCCGGCACCAAGCAAGTAAGATTCGAATCGGCCTGACAGAAGTGATAGCCGACAATGTGCGAAGCCAAAGCGCGTATGCGATCGTGGCCGATATTGATGGGACAATATATGCCATCTGGATCGCTGTCCTCTTTGCTATTCTTGCGGCGTCCAAAACACGAATACTCCACCAACTGCAAAATTAGCGCCGTTTTGCCCGTACCTGGATTGCCATTGATCAGCACACCCGGCGTCTCGGTGCCGGTGAGTATGTTGGAGAGTTCGCGCAGCAGCCACTGACGTCCAATAAATGGTGGATCTGGTTCGGGTAATGGTACCTCAAAGAAGAGCGGCTTCAAAGCAAGTTGCACTGGTGGAACAGTGGCCGCTGGCTTGTAAATGGCATTACGCTTACCCGCGCCACTGCCTACTTGACCGGTGCGTGCCGAACGTCGTATGCCCGACTTGCGCGCCTTCACAGGAAATACATCACTGTTATCTGTGGATACGGACAAGGCATTCAACTTTCCAGCCAAGCTGAGTGTGTCATCCTTGGTGATCACGGAGAGTTGAGAGCCAAATGCGTTGGCGCAACCATTCGATAGCGTCTGTTCAGGGCTGATGTTCTGTGAGGAGCTGCTGCTGGTCGTGGTGTTCGTATTGCCATTCTGATCGCTGTCCAGCAGCAGACCGAGCCGGGCGCGCAGTTGATCCTTTTGCTTCTCGGCAGGAGTTAGCACGTGATCGTCGTCGCCTGCAGTGGAGAGAAGAGAGAGAAAATTATGTAGTTATTTAGAGCGGACAAAGGTGTTCTACGCAATCGGCATTCAAGGGGTGCATCGAACGTGGAAAGTAAAAAATAGAAAAATACTAAAAACATGCTTATGAAATGAGAACATGCACGCCTAAGCTCTGAGAACAGCTTACTTCACTAAGAAACATGCAAAGGAAATCAACAAACACATGAAACAACAGCAAGAAAAATAACAAAAATAATGAAATATGCGTGGAAAATGGCCGTGCCTGCAAATTGATTAAGTCCCGCATCCGAAGAGTTCGAGTTTACGCTCCACAACGATTTGATTTTACCAAAGACCAACGATGAAAGATGTCCAGCGTAGACTGAGGTGCCAGCAAGACTTAAGCGATTCAGTCTATTCTCACTGCCCGCGGCTGTTGGTCTGGTAGAAGCGGCGCTCACATTGTTGCTGACCTTCTGGCGACGCCGACGTGTGACCGCCGAATCGGAACAGGTCGACGTGTTAAGGACGTTATTATCTTTTGCTGAAAAATTTAGTAATGTTGATGATGGAATGATGAAATGTTTTCGAACATGTTAACAAAAAATAATGGAATTGTTAGTGAAAATGAGAAGTAAGTGACTCACTACGCTAAGTGAAAGGATAGTACCGGATACACTCTGAAAGTATATACGCTGGTAAAAGTGTCAGATTAGTTAAGAATTATAAGCCTGCTTAGTTAACTTAGCCTTAAACAATTAACTACTAGTTATTTTAGACAGACAATTTTTATTGAGCGTTGGAAATCATTGTCACCGATATCATACTTTTGGGTAGAAAAAAAATTATTGATCCGTATTTAATAATTTTCTTTCTCTTTCACAGCTGAATTTGGTATCCTTCTCCAAGATATTTAGCCCACAAGATAGAGTGTTTCCGAAAGTCTGATCTCCTTCTCTTCTGCATTCGCTGCTGCTCAGTTGGTTTTCTGGATATATTCCAAGAGCTTTTGCCATCCCATATAATGACAGGAAATAGTTATGGCATATGAGCGGAGATAATAACAAACCCTTACCACTCATTCTTGATCTGGAAGGTTATGCTCCGCGTTAGTAACCGCTGACACTATAATTGAACATATCGCTCCCTTTACACTGAGTATGTTGAGTCACATACAAGTAATGACTTATAGGGCGGTGGCTTAGGCCTCATGAACTGCGTTAACGATAGTACTAGAGGTAGTTCTTGATCTGGAGCCACTGCACACCACCATATAACAGGGAGTCAAGTATACTCACTTAAACTTTGCAAGAAATGGTTATGACAGAGGCAAGGTTCTAGCGTCTATGTATATAGAGAAGCTAGGATCCCAGCTCCCAATGAGGTATTTTTTTTTTTGACAAAAATACAAAACCGAGCTCCAAAACACCAGAAGGTGTTGGGTCAGGCATTTATGAACCCTGTGGAGGCTATTCGTGCCCATGGGCAAATTCACGATCAGCTTTCTAGCGGAAATAGACAGCATCAGTCGGTGTGCAAAGACTACCGTAATGAGAGCCGTAATGTCAATATCATCGACGCCGCTTCTTTCTATCTCTTTAAGCCAGCTATCAGCGGCAATATTTCAAAGTAGACATGGGAGCACAACCCATTAGTGAGTCCCCCTTACTATCTACTTTTTGAGAGAGAAGTCTCCTAGTTCTGAGCTTATGACTCCACTCGGAGAAGATTGTTAACAAGTCCAAGTTACTGTAGCGGCGCGATGACCGCTTCCGTACGAGTATTGTTGCAAAACACCTTCAATGTCCAAGAAGAAGTGATGCAAAGATTTTTCGATGTCAAAGGCCGTGCAGAGCCGTATCCACATTCTTTCCTTTGTTATATGCATGTTGGAATGTCGAAAGCTTCGAACCAACATTTTTCTTGGTTAGGGTGCCCAATATGCACTGTAGTAACTACAGGAGAGAGGAATGGAGGCTTAGTTAATTAAACTCATTGAGTTTTGTGTCCGAAGATTTACCCGCATTGGGGATAAATACAACTTTTACCTGTGTCCGTCTTTGTGGTATATAGGCGAGGCTGATAGCCACGCTGTAAATTGTTTTTAATTTTGGAATAACTAGGTCCATTGTTTTCTGAAGGTTGATATATAGGCGACCCAACAAACCCAACAGCTTCCTTAACGCTCTCGTCAGAGAGTCCCAGTCCTAAGTGGGAATTTCCCGTTTTGGACAATGATCAGTGAGTTGTTCGCTACACTGGTGTCGGAACAATCTGAAAATTTCCGCTGCATTAGGAGCTCAAGCATTTATCGATTTATGGAATTCACCTATCGTGTGGTCTTAAGATTTATTAGGGAAGACAAATGCATCTTGGGTTAGCGACTCACCTTAGTGATATGAAATATCTTTCTTTCAGGACGTAGAGTTCGCTTTACCTAGTTGCTTAACTAATTAAGCTGCTTGGTTCCATGTTCTTCATCTTATTGCGAGATATCGCCTTTTGGAGTAGCAGCTACCTAATTAAGCTTGCGAAACAATGCACCACAAATTTGATCTGAGTACAAGATGTTCTCTTGAAACACTACATACTATTTCTGGTGTAGGTACTTTAGGTCACTGGCGATTAGTCATGTAAAAGTTGTAGAAAATGGTCGCGCATCCTTTGCCTTTACAAAGTTCTTCTCAGGCTTTGGCTCTTGTCTTTTAGTGAAACTTTTGATAATCGAGCTTTAATACAAAAAACTGGCAATAAAACAATTTAAGATTATAAGTCAGCACTTAAATTTTAATCATACATAAATATCAGTATATTACTAAGCCCACTTCACTACTTTCGAATCTGTGCCCATCTCAAAACCCATAAATATTTTCTAATATTTACAATCACTTTTTTTTGCACTACCATTAAGCGGTCACTTCAGCGATGACACTACTAAATTTTTTGTTATCCATTAGCCATTGACCCCGACCTTTCAGCTGCACGTGCAGTCAACAAGCCCGTCACATGGACTACCACCTCGCTGCTCGTACTCGCACAAGTAAATACTTGTAAGTACGTAAACGAGCGTGTTGTACTTTCACAGCCACAAATCAAAGGAGCGACCGACAAAGGCAATGACAGTTGCGCTAAGCCAGTCGAACGGTTGGTTGACTAACTAACTGCCTTTCGCCACCATTTGCTGCCAATTGCACAGACGGCGGCTGGACGGCTGCTTAGAAGCTAGCAAACGAACAAAAAAATAAAAAAATAAATAAATATCCATACCCATTTAAATGTTCACCTCCAACACCTCAACTCTAACTGCACAACTAAATACCCAACACCCCGCAAAGCAATGGTCAAAATGAAAATCCATCAAAATTTGGCAAATATGCAAAAGTGCTGGGATGAAGTGCTTAGTGGTTAGTTGCTAAGTTGACTCGAATGCTTGTTGAGCACATCGACTTACCATCGACGAGTATCGCTGCGGCGGCATCTGTTGGCACACCACAACTGCCGCCGCCAACACCACCACCACCACCACCACCACTCGATGCGGTGCGACGGTGTCCGGTCAAAGCGCTGCGCAAATTCTTGTGATTAAAGAAACGTCGTCGTGTCGGTGGTGTGGCAAATGAAGATGCATTGATTGCATCGCCGGCGTAGTGTGGCTGTTGAGACTGGTGTGTTGTGTGGTTGTTGTTGTTGTTGTTGCTGCTGTAATGTTGGTTATTGTTAATATTATTGTGACCGTTGTTATTGCTGCTGCTCGCCGTGCTGCTGACGGTATTGCTATTGCTGCTGCTGCTGCTAATGGTGTTGTTGTTGTTGCTGATAATATTGTTTTTGTTGTTGCTGCTGTTATTGCTGATGTGGTGTATGTCCGCCGTAACGGTATAGGTTGCTTGCGCTGCTGCTGCCACCACCGCTTTTGGCAATTTACCAATGCTTGCATAGCGATGATATTCCGGGGATATGGACTCCTGCCGGTTATGCTGCAATAAAAAAAAGAACAAAAAAAAAACAAAGATTAGTACCTATATAGAAATATATAGTAGAAGAAAAGTGTAGTCAAATTTCAATTGCATATTCAAACAAAGCGCCTCCCTTTCAAAGGAAGCATAATATTTTCTCGAAATGCTAAAATTTTCCAACAAAAAAAAAAGAAGAAATTCTAATCAAATTTGCTTGCAGCTTGTTGTGCATTTCAAGCTCGTGCATATGTGTTCAAAAAACAGCACGCGCCGAGCGTTGCATAGAACAGCGTTTGCCGCATGGCGGTTATCGGTGATGAAAGTTTAAGTATTGAACTCAAAGCGAAGATGAATTATGCGAAGCCAGGGTGTAGTGGATGTGTGCAAATGTTGAAGCTTTTGGCTGCACCTTAGAACTACAGTGTGGACGTTGATTTATTTATTGGAGGGGTGGGGGGTTGGGCTTTGCAGAGACGGTGCGTTGTCCCTTCGCCACCACTGTTTCACTTCTACATTTCGATGCTCACTCAGCCAGCAACGGAAGTTTTACTGAACTACTATGCAGACGATTGTTCGATATTGCTGCCAGCGTATGAGAGTAAACGGCTATCTCTCCGAAATTTTTGGTCTCTCTACTGTGCGAAGCATTACCTTAGCGGCTATAGTTAGTAGCTCTCTCTCTTTCTCCGCATACAGCAGCGCTGGAGGTAAAGCTGAAACCTATTGAATCTTTCAGTAAAACAAGCAGCAAAGCGGACTCGCCTTAATTTTTGCGAGAGAGGGATATGGTAAAGGTAAAGTTTTGTCATCCAGGAACAGGGACAACCTGGGCTCCTAGCTCCTTCTATTTCTGCTCCCCAGTGAAGACATGTATAGTGGAGTATTTAGTTTTTAAAAGAAACTTTAAGATTGAAACATATAGCAAGCCAACCTGGAGTACTTCTAGCACGGAGAGCCACATCCAGGCGAGCGCTCTAAAGTGACAAACAGATGGCTCTAAAATTCCTGAGGGGATTGTGGTCGGCTTTTACGGCCCCATAGTGCCGCCTCGGTGCATCTGGTAACCTTCCTAAGCATCTTTCAAGCAGAAGTCTATGTCATCAGTCTGTGTGCTGAGATTAGCCTTCGAAGGAAGTATCGAAATGAGAGGATCCTTATTTTAGGCGACAGCCAGGTGGCAAAAAAGGCTCTCCCATCCTTCGATATCAAAACCTCAGTGGTCCTTTAGAACAATACCATCCAATGGCAATGGACACCAGGGCTCACCGGAGTCGAAGAAAATGAGGTGACGGATCAGCCCCAGACTGGCCGCTGGCTCGACCCCGATAGGGAAGGAGCCCTTTCTTTCAATAGGTCTCAACACGATAAAGCAAGCACTCAGGAAGTAAAACACCAAACCAAAGCATCAGCATTGGCATAATTTCATGGGACTTCGTCAATTCAAAAACTTACTAGGAGGGTACAATCTGAAAAGATACAGGATAAGGAGAAACTAAGAATCCTTGCAGGTTTTTTGAGCCGCACCATTGTAGGTTAAGAAGTCATCTGTACAATTTACGAATCTGGTCAAGCGACCTGTGTCACCTCTGTGACGCTGCCTAGGAGACTCCACTACACCTTCCTCTGGAGTGTATGGCTGTTTCACGCAGAAGGAAGAGGAGCACATTTACTCCCTGCTCCCGGGATCTATTTAAAAATTTATATAGTCCATAGACCGCATAGACAGCGCCGAGAGGGCCTGCATGGCCCAAACAGATGCGGTTGGTCTTCCGCAGAAACTAAAGGAAAGTCAAATGGCGTTTTCGTTTCTACAAAAAATGTTGTCTTATTATCGCCCTCTTCTTAGTGTTAATGCGTAGAGGGCAAAGGGAATGTTGCCTTTTTCGGTAGAAACGAAATCGGCATAAGCTTCCTGAGGAAAAGTCACCCCGAGGGAAAACGGTATGAACGGTCTCACCCAACCTAACTTTTCCTCGACTGCTGTGGTTAGAGACGAACCGTGACGAAAGAAAATGTGTATGGCATTACTTGATCGACAACGTTTATACGGTAGTATATGCAAACTACTATGTAAAATCTCCACTTTTCTGAACCACTAGTAAAAATGCATCACGCATCCCCTGGAATAGCATAGGAAGCAAGCAAACACTAAAGCTATGTATTTATTATTATCGACAACGGCTTTGGTGGAATCTTAGAACGTAGTAACAAATCGCCAAGTCGCGACCGAAACTAATCAAATTAAAAAATGCCCAACGTACGTACATACATATGTATGTCGCAGATGACCAAATAACCTATTCATATTAGAGTTAAGAACAACCACACTCACACAGCCATACCCATAATATTCTGAAACTCAATGAGAGTAAGTACGCGCATAAACAAAGCAAATGCCCATTCGAAAATATGCAGCCAGCCAGCGAGATAAAGGTTCCCTGTGGTTATAGCACATGGCAGAAAGATTGTCTGCGGCATCAACAACGGTAATAACAAGTAAACTGCAATTTGGAGAACAGCAAAATGAAGAAAATACTCGTAAGCGGCGGCAGAGTTAACCGGGAAAGAAGCAACAGGCGTCACAGTTTGATTAGTCACATCCTCCAGACAGTAAGAAACAACCAAATAAGACAGAAAAAGTCAGGCAAAAAAGTTAGAATCAGACATAGCGTAAACGTGTGTGCTGTCATAGAGTGTGTAGGTTTTTGTTGCCAATATGCTTAATACATATCTTTTGCTCTTTCCTTTTCCTGCAAACATTCTAGTACATATATTCTAAGTGTGTAGTTATTGTTTTCCTGTTGCTAATCATTTTATACATACTTTAATCAACTTTAGTCGATCAGTCAGTGGGTAGGCCAATGGCACACATGTATGTGCATGTACCAGGAGAGGATGTTGTCGCTGACGGTGATATGGTCTCCGTATGGGCTTAGCGGCCGAGGAGAATGTGAGTTAGTTGCCTTTAAGAGCGAAGACATATGTACATTGCCAACTTGAGACGAGCGCGCCAAAGTTAGTTGCTTTTATACTGTTTCTCAAATCATTGGGCTGTGCTGTCATGATTGGCGCTGCTGGGCGGATAGCGCATGCGTTTCCGTTTTTTTTTGTTTTGCTGCGCTCTCTATGGTTACGTACATTTATAGATATGTACACAAGTTAGCATATGCGCGCTAACGGGGTAACATGTGCCGGTTGTTGTTTTATGATCCTACGAGTCTTCAAAAGAGTCATAACTCAAAATTACACGTTTGTCAGAAATCATATGGGACAGCGAGACTTTACCTTAGGTTTCGTTTTAACAAACTATAACCGAAATTTGCTCCAGTTTTTGCTAAAAGGTAAATAAAAGCTCTGTGTATATTTTTAGCGCATAATTTCGAAAATGTCAGATTTTGAGTTGTGTCTCTTTTGAAGACGGTGTGCGATATGTGCATAAGTTGCTAAGTAAAAAACTCGCACAACAGCGCAGATTTGCGTTGGCTTTGGGTGTCATGCCGCATTGACGCACTCCATTACTGCTTGTATTGTTGTTGTTGTTGTTGATAAGCCAAAATCAATTTCATTCACGAAACACCACGTAGACCGGCTGATCGTCTGATAAAAATTATTGAAAAAAAATTACTCTTGCCACAAGTAGGCTGGAAACAACGGATGGATTGAACGGCTGATTGGATTTGACACAAACAAATAGGCAATAGACAGCACAGTGGATAATGGACAATAAAATGCGGTCAGAAATGTTACTAAAAGTTTCTTTTATGATTACTGGGAACCTCTTAAATCTTAATTTTTAGAAGGACAGGGATCACACTGGCACACCTAGGCCTAGTCTAGATTTCGCGAAACCCAGAAGTTGCCGTATGCCTACCTCGGCTATGTCGGTTAAGTCTTCGAAAAATCCGGAACCAATGAACTTTTGTCTCTTCTACAAAGTGCGGGGCATTCGAATAACAGGTGCCGCAAAGTCTCTGTTTTTACTTCATTTCTGTATCTTCTGCAGAAATCGTTGTGGGGGGCCGTAACCTCTCCGCGTGCCTTTCAATGGCAACATGGCCTGTTAGCAGACCCCCGGCTGCAGCTAAGTCCCCTCTGCTCAGCATGAGGAGATCCTTCGACGGTTTTTAATCCCATTTTGTGCAAGAGGTGAGACTATCCTACCTGTCACTTGCTAGTAGCAGTATGCTTAAACACTTTCAGAACTACGGATGTGGAGCGTATGTGCCCTCTCTTGCAAGCTCGTCTTCGTTTGCGTTATTCGGTATGTTCCGGTGCCACGGCGCCCATACCAAGTGAATAGTAGACTGCTCAGACATCTCGTTTAGAGCTCTGCGACAGATCGCTATGGGTTTTGAATTGCATGTGAATGCGACCTGACTTTTCGAGTAGATGAAGATATTATTACATACTCGTATGACTTCTCCTGTATGTAGGCGTTCAAGCCCCTCCTGTATAGCAGCGATATCAGCTTAAAATATGCTGTAGTTATTGGGTAAGAAATTATTTTTCTTGTCCCTGTCGGGCTGAGAAGACCCCCCTCCTACCTTGCTGGAATAGAAATCCTATATCTTTTTGTGAACTTCAGGATTTTTCAATATGCGACACGATTTCGTGCGGCGCTGTTTCGTGGACTTCCCCTTCATATATGTAGGCATACTGCGATGCCATTCGTTTGTTTGCAACTGATTCCCTGAGATGGGATTCAATTAGTCACTGCATTATCTTGGCACTTCATGCTTCGGTAAAATTACTTTTATCATCATATTGTTTCCAAGAACTAGTCATTTTATCGAAATTATTTTTTTTCTTTTCTTTTTCTTTT